CACTTACCTTGAACCCTGGCATTCCTGGGGGTCCAGGAGGGCCTGGAGGGCAGATGGCAGGACACTGTTGAAAAACAGAAGGGTCAGACCTTTCCAAGACAACTGGGGCAGGATACCAAGAGAGACCAGCGGCAGGGGGTGGGGGAACTGAAAAGGACCATTTCACCAATGAAGGGGACAGTGGACAAGCCTAAACAGGGCCCCATTCAGTGCTGGGCATGAGGTGTGGTGAGTGACTGTAGAGAGCTGGACTGTAGCCAGTCACCCTCCCTCGCTCTCTACAGACAGACTCAGCCTCAAAGCAGCTATTTACATACTGGCTGCAGGCTCCACAAAGGGGCCTTCATGTGACCAAGCACCTGGTGGCTGTTCTGAGGGATGCTATGTGAACTCAACCAATAATACCGGTGCCAGATACCAAGAAACTGATGGAGATTTCTAGCTCATTTCATGCTGAACTGGCCAGGTCAAGCCCGGGTACATAGTGGTTCTGACTTCTGCTCACCGGCCCGTTCCAGAGGCTCAACACTGTCCTCATTTGGAAGAACCGTCCTTTCCCTTCCTGGGGATGTTGAGTAAGGTTGAGGAACAGTGGGCAGACGACTCCCAGTCATCCAGAGGGGATGAAACCAGACACAAACCCTCTCCTAGGAACTAGAAACCCACTGCAACAGACTAGGCCTGTTAGTCACCCAGCGCAGTGGCCTTAGTGAGAGGGGGCTCTGCAGGAAGCAGGGTGTCACCTGAAGAACTGTATTGATTGGGTGTCACTTCCCTGTCACTAGTAGCTTTGTGTGGGGCAATACAGGTGAGGATAGTGAGCAGAGAAGATGAGGCCAGGCTTGTGCCTGGAGCCATCTGCAGAGCTCAGTCCCCAAGGAACTCCCTCTGTGGCCTTCCTGCCGGGGAAGCGGGTCCCTCTATGGGTAGGAATGCTGTTTTGGAACCCCCAGAAGTGGCCTTGGGCAAGACTCTGCCTTCAAAGCAGGAACATCCCTCATAACCTCTCCATAATCACCACAAAGCATACCTGCAGATCAGTAGCACCTTCAGGGAGGACTCCTGGGTTTCCCTTGAACATACAAAGAAGCAGTTGGTACCCATCCATCCCCTAAACACTCTGTCCTTGATTCATCTAACAGGGGGCTTAAAACCCTTAACCCTATCTCCTCAGTAGCAAGTGCAAGGCACTGCTAACCCATCTGCAGAGTAGGTAACAATAGAAATCACCTGTCCTTGGGGCAGGACCTTGAATGCTATACCAGCCCCTGCCTCCCACCTGCTTCTGGGGAGTGGCACAGAGCCTGGGCAGGGAGTAAGGTGGGGTCCAGCCTAGTTAGTCTAGGCTATCTGGCAGAGACCCCTCCTCAATACTTACAGGAGGTCCAGGAGGTCCTGGAGGGCCAGGCAGGCCTGGGAGTCCAGAGGGTCCCTACAGAGGATTCATGACTCAGCAGAGCCCTGCCCCACTGAGTGAGGGCACCAGCTTCACCCAAAGTAGAGGATACTACAGCTCCCTTTATCCTCCCTGGGTGAATCCTGTGTTGGCACCATCTGTCTGTCACCCTGAGTCATGGGTACCTCTCTGCCTGGGCTTCAGTCAGTGCCCACCAAGTACAGGGTAGGGTGGGGTGGGGGTGGGGTGGATGGGGAGGAGAAGGGGACAGAGAGGAGAGAGTGTACAGGGAGGAGGGAGGGGACAGGGAGAAGGTAAATAGGAGGAGGAGGAACAGGGAGCCTCTGGTTAAGTGTGGGTACCAAGGCTACATGTATCCATGCAGTGGCCACACAGAGAACAGTCACTCACCGGGGGGCCTCGCAGACCAATACCACCTGGGAGGCCACTCACTCCTGCCTCTCCCTGGAGAAGGTAAAGAAGAGGTAGATGGGCAGCCTGTGACCCTGAGTGAGGGTCAGGACTCCAAGTGTGAAGTAGTCAGGTGGTGCCCTAAGAAGACCACTATGCCATGATCTGGGATATCCCATACAAGGTGGGCTTCAGTGAGGGCTGCTCTGGAAACTTAGATTCTTGGGAGGGGCCAAGGGGGCAATAAATACTCACAGGAGGTCCAGGGAGGCCTTTGCCCTGCAGAGCCAAAAATAAGATCAGAGTATAGGTTGGCCCTGCCACCCCCAAGGCAATTTTGGGGTCCAGAGAGAGTGAGGTGCCTAATTTAGGAGAACCACACTCACTAACACAGAGGTCATAGCCTAGATAAAGCTCCAGGGCCTCCAGGCCAGAACCCAGGCCCCAGGCCAGACTGCAAGGGACCTCAAGGATGCCACCCCACAATGAATAGTGGTTTTCAAAACCCCATGAGGAAGAGCGGTTGGTACTTACCCCAAGTCCTGGTGGCCCTGGGGGTCCTAGACTTCCCTGAAGAAGAAAATAGAGGTCAGAGTACACAGTGAAGAAACTCTGGCCTTTGCAAACTCATTTTCCCCCTCTGGAGCCTAAGTCATAACTCAGTCGAGGAGGGGAGCAGGGATGGAAACCTGTATGGAAAACTGAGGCCATGAGAGGTTCTGCTCTCCTAGAAACCTGGGTGAGTATGGAAGAAAAGCATGGCCAAGAAAGCTGCTAGTGGGTGGGCTGAACCAACAGGCGGGCAAGACACTAGAGTAGGTGTGAGCCACAGTCAGGGACCCCAGACAGTCTTCCGGAAAGCTGTACCAACATTAGTTTGCAAAAGTTACTAAGACCTCAGGGAACCACCAGCTTGGCAGACAGGGTCTAAAATGACTGGTTTGTCAAGAAGGGGGTACAGTCTGGTCCTTACACTGTACTCAAAGTGTCCCCCAGATGGCCTGGGACCAGCCCACCCCAGGCTGAGCAGTGGCAGCCCAGGTGGCCACCAGCTACTTACTTCCATTCAGGTGCCCGCACATCTGAGTACCCCATGCTAGTTGTGGTCTTGTGTCCTACCCACCCCTCTTGATTTTTGTGCTCATGGTCACCTCTCCTGAGGGGAAGAACTTGTGGACAGATCTGCCCTCAGAAGCAGTGGGAAAAAGAGCCAATTTGCTAGTAAATGGGGGGGTTCAGTGAAGGTAGTCTGACCCAGGGGATGTGTGGTGGCTACTCTTGTATTGATTCACCCAGGGCCCTGGGATCCAGAGACACTGAGAGGAGGGACACCTGGAGCTCATCCCCACCTGGCCCCCATCACCCCTCCAGCTCTTCCTGCCGTGGTCTTAATGCCAAGATGACTCTGACCAGGTGCTGTGGGATTGCTCGGGAGTGGGGCCTAGAGTCTGTCCACTCAGCATCCTCCCCTGAAGTGGAGTAACGGGATAGGGCCCAGCCAGTGCAGCCATGGACATCATCCACAGAACTTCCATCCCGATGGCCTTGTGGACCACCTGGAAACCTTACCTCTGGACTGCAGCCACTGGAATTGAAACACTTACCCGTTCTCCAGGGGCCCCTTTGGGTCCTGGGGGTCCATCCCTCCCAGTCAGACCCTGGAGAGATAGGTAGAGGGTGGGCTCAAGAAACCACTAAATGAGAAGCACTTGCCATGCCCCAGGAAGAATGAGGCACAGACTTTTTTTTTTTTTTTTTTTTTTTTTTTTTTTTTTTTTTTTTTTTTTTTTTGTGACAGGGTTTCTCTGTTTAACAGCCCTGGCTGTCCTGGAACTCACTCTGTGAACCAGGCTGACTTGAACTCACAGGGCTCTGCCTGCCTCTGCCTCTGCCTCCCAAGTGCTGGGATTATGTTTTGGTTTTTCAAGACAGGGTTTCTGTGTAGCCCTGGCTGTTTTGAAACACACTCTGTAGATCAGGTTGACCTTGAACTCACAGAAATTCACCTGCCTATGCCTCCTGAGGGCTGGAATTCTGAGGGCGTGCACCACAGAAACCTTCTTAACTATGAATCCAGAGGCAGGGACCACTTTTAATGGCTCCCAGTGTACGGGGTGCACCCAGGAGGGGGTGGGGCTAGTAGATGGAAAATTTGCTACAAAACAAATAGGTCCAGCAGCCCAGTCCTGCCTGGCTAGTCCCAGAGCCAGGGCCTTGAGCGCATCACTATCCACCAAGACATCAGGGGGCTGGGAGGAAACCCGTGTGGTCAGCATGGTGCAGGAAGCCTGACAATGGGTACTTGTTCTTGGGTCAGTAAGAGCTAATGAGACTTCCAACTACTGGAAGCTGGTTATGTCCCCGCCAGGAGCTGGCAGCGTCTGGGATGAAGGCCAGGGACCCCCATTGGGAACTACTGCAACTTCTGTCAAGACAAGGTTTCCTGCCTGAATAAGCCCAGCTGCAGAATAGCAATGAAAGCCTAACCCTTGGCTGGGCTGGGACAGGGGTGAGGTGAGGTAGGGATGCAGTAGGAGGGCACACTCACATCCACACCAGGCAGTCCTGGCAGTCCTGCCTCTCCTGGCTTCCCTGGCTTCCCTGAGGTCCCTTTGGGTCCCTGGTAGGAGAAAGGACAGAGTTATACAAGAAGTACCTGGCTGTAAGCTCTAGCCTCCATCAAGGAAGTCAAGTCCTCTCCGTGTTGGCTACTGCCCAGTGGTGGTGATGGGCTCATCTCCCTGCTGCTCTGCCGGACCCTGGAAGACTGCCCCACTCCCATTGCATCTATTGGATATTCACCAAATGGATCCAGCCTCCCCAACAAAAAACCAGCAGGTCACTATACAGGAATGCCAGTGGACTCAGGATCTTCAACTAAGGTGAGGGGGCCTACCCAGGCACAGTGGGGAGAGATCTATAAAGCTGTACTGTCTCCCTTCTCTGGTTTATCTGAACACTGGCACAAAGTAAGCTTCCTGCCAGACCCAGCACAGAGTCCCAAATGCTCTCCTCCCACCCACTTCCAGCCTCTGCCCTCAGGCCTCTCCTGGGGCAACACAGACCCATAGGTGAGGACAGGGCATCAAGGACCTTTTGTTTTCTGTGTCCATCTCTCCCGTGCAAACTGGAAAAGCCTCCCTTTTCTAACCAGGGACACTTACTGGAGGGCCAGGCAGACCTGGAGGGCCGGCTTCTCCCTGCAAAAACGAAAATGTAACCCCTGAAAATGGGAAACCCACTATAGAGCTGGGCCATTCTCCAATCCAGGCCTGGAAGCTTAGCCCATGGGGACATTATGGGGGTCCCCAGAACCTCTCATCTATATCTGGGGCTTCTCCTCTGCAGGCTAGGCAGGGATGGGGTGAGCTGTAAATAGGCTCAGCCACACAGTATTTGGGGATCACTTGGGAACACAGGGATACAACAGCCTCCAGGAAATACTCCATATAGCTCCTCTGCACTGACCCAAGAACTTTATAGAAAGTGGCTGTGGCTAGCTGAGCATCTTGACTCCATCTGTTTGGGAGATGGCAGTTCCTCCCCTATTGTCCAGAAAGGTGTCCCAGCAGCTGTATCCTCCATAGATACCTACTAGGGTGGCTGAATCTTTCAACTGAGACTTTAAGATATTTTAAGTAGGAGCCTTAAAGCCTGGATGCTCAGCTACTAAGATATTTTAAGTAGGAGCCTTAAAAGCCTGGATGCTCAGCTACAGCAATGGGGGTTCAGAGGGTAAGAGCCTTGGCAACCTAGGTCCAACATGAGGGATCAGGAAGGATGTGAGGGAACCTGAGGCCATTATGGCTGAATTAGGTACTGGGTACAATTCTTGGGGATACTGAGAAGAACCCAGGACACTCTTGGTGAAGCTTCCTATAGCCCTCTATGGCATCCCAAGGGGCATAACATGAGTGACTGGAGGCTGTCTTTTCTGGAGAAGACCCTATGAGAAGGTTTCCACTTCAGATGATGGGAGGGGGTGAGGTAGAGCTGCAAGATTTCAGTTGTCTCCCCAAATTGTTTGGGCTATAACTGGATGATAAGACACCATCTCTGAGGCTAAGCTGTCCCCCAGCCCCATCCAAGACTGGCTCTATTCTCAGCCCTAACAAGACCCCCCAGGTCCCCAGAGTAACCTCTAGAATACAGGAGCACACGCACCTCCGGGCCCACATTTCTAGCCAAGAACCACCCTGTTATCTGTATCCCAAGATCTACCCCCACAACAAGGTCTTTCCAGCTCCAATGGGGAATACCGTTTCACCCTAGCTCTCAGAGGAGGGGCTTGCATTTGTGGTTACAAGGCCAGGAGTCTCAGGGCATCTTCCCCATTCCTCTCCCAACTCACATCGATGCCATCCTTGCCGGGCTTCCCAGGAGGTCCTTGGGGACCAGGGGGGCCTCGAGGTCCCACTTTCTGAAATTAAGATAAGTTATTAGTCTGGGCAGTAGTGGCGCACGCCTTTGATCCCAGCACTCAGGAGGCAGAGCCAGGCGGATCTGTGAGTTTGAGGCCAGCCTGGTCTACAGAGCGAGATCCAGGACAGGCTCCAAAGGTACACAGAGAAACCCTGTCTCGAAAAACCAAAAAGGTAAGTTATTGGGTAGTCCTCCTTTCCACCCTGTCAGGCCCCCTGTTCCATCTTCCCCAGCCCAAGTAATTCTAGGGCCTGTGATAGTGGCCCATGACCCCCCTTCCTGCCCGCTAGAAAACCCCAAAGTCTCCTGTGCTGGAGCCTGGCTTGGAGGCACGGTTTATCCCTGCTTGCGCCAGGAGTGGCTGTGCCGCGGCCCCGCAGGGAGTCTCCAGGAACAAAGGCAACATTGTGCGTGGTGGCAGAGCCGGCAGCAGCCTGACCCGGTTGGGCGAAGACAAGTGGGAGCCCAGGATCATGGTCGACTTGTCCTGGTGTCCACGGGGTTCAGCTGCATCACTAGAACTTGCTCGCCGGAGGAAGGCGGCGAGGAGGCTGCCATAGAAGTCCTCAAAGGTCCACGGCGGTGGAACTCAGAGTTTGGCCCAGGAGGCTCGAGTTGTAGCAGGTTGTGAGGTTCGAAGTCCAGCCCTATCCCCGACCCGGCTGGCACCCGCAGGCTCGCTCTCACCTGAGCGGAGGTGGCCGTCAGAAGCTGCCCCAGCAGCAGCAGGGCTAGAACAGGAGCTCCGATCATGGCTGGCTGGCTGGCGCTCTGAGCGACTGGCGCCAGGCAGCAGGGTGGGGAGAGGGGCTGGGGGCGGCGCAAGGCTGGGGGCCCCGCCCTGCCCCGCCCCGCCCGCGCACAAGCCCCCCATTCAGACTGGCCCACCTGGGCCGGCGGGGCGCCGCGTGGGCTGGAAAGAAAAACCCAGCAGCATTTTCAGGCCCTACTCCGAGTTAAAATTATCTGAGGGAGAGCGCGTTACACACACGCACCTTTCAGTGCACAAGAAAGACTCTTTTCTCTCCCGCTCCTCTGCCAGATCGTGGCCAGGAAGAACCCCTGCAGTAAAGGGCACCTTTTAAAAGCTGCGAAGGACATACCCAAGATGCCCAAATACCAAGAGGATCACGGTAAATCTCCCTTTAGGATGCCTACCATGGCAAGGATCCTGTAGGGTGACAGTCCAGCACTTCTGGCTAGCCATCCCAGCCCTCTTTTAAGCTTGGAACCTGGCTCTAGTGGGAGTAGGGGTGGACAGGTTCATTTCAGCCACTACTGGAAAGCCTCGTTATTATATTGCACCCTGTTCCCCAGGAGGGAGCAAGATGGTGAATTGGGAGAGAAAAGCAGCAGCCTGAAGGTCAAGGCTGCTGGAGAGAAGGACCCAGTGTTAGGACATACCTGGAAGCAGGTCTCCACAGTAGTAGTTTCTCCTTTAACCCTCCTTCTTCAGATTATTTTTACTAAATTATGTATATGAGTGTTTTGCCTGAATGTATGTGCATGCCTGGTGTCCAGATGGTTGTTAAGCCTCCATGTGGATGCTGGGAATGAAACCTGGGTCCTCTACAAAAGCAACAAGTGCTCTTAACTGCTGGGCTAACTCTCCAGCTCCTTCCCTTAATCTTACAGACATCTAAATCGCCTATGGGGCTTGCCAAAACAGTCTACCTGTCCTTTTTGAGAATCTGAATGTCCCAAGTAACACTGTCCTGGTTTACAGGACATGGCAGCAGCTCCATCTGCAGTCAGGGATCATGTGACAGAAATCAGCAAGAATAGAGTAAGGGTGTGTGTGTGTGTGTGTGTGAGAGAGAGAGAGACAGAGACAGAGAGACAGAGACAGAGAGAGACAGAGAGAGAGAGAGACAGAGAGAGAGAGAGACAGAGAGAGACAGAGACAGAGACAGAGAGAGCGCCAGCACAAAATGGCCCCAACGTGAAGCTGTGGCTCTCACCTGCCAAGTGAGGTAACAGGAGATTCCTGTTCCACTACCAAGCACCCCACTGCCTGCTCAGCTCTGTAACAGGTGCTGTGAATGTCCACGGGGGCGAAGCAGGGGGAGCTCAGGAAGCCGTGCCCTCAGGTAGTCTGAGACGGACCAAAGCACCTCTTCAGAAAAAGGTACTGTGGCAGCAGTAGCTGCAGCTGGGGGCTCTGAACAGCCCATACCACACGGAACTGTGAAGTACCTCCCACCTGACCAGGTTCCAGCCCTTTCTGCCACCTCAGCACCTAACAGGCAGCATATAAAGCAGCGACTGGACGCCAATCGGAGGCACAGCTGGCCTTTAGCTTGGGTCTGGGGAACAGTTTTGGCACCTGAAGCAGACTTTTGTCTTCAACTCCCTCACATCCCCAGTATCTGTAGACCTCTGAGGTGAGGCCAGCCTCACATCCTAGGCCTGTTAGGTCCAGGCCTCCCAGTACTTGCCTTTGAGCTGTGCAGAACTAAAGACTTACCTGTTTTGGTATGCCATTCTTCCTGAAAGTCTGGCAGGGGGTCAAGTGAGTCAGAGTGGCCAGCCATCCCTAGAGTCTCTCCTCACTTTCAAGAGTCAATATTCCCCATCCAACCTGAGTCCCAGCCATCTAGCTGAAGATGCCTGCACACCCCAAGAGGGACCCCAACTGTAGTTGCCTTCTATCCACCTCTGAGCATCCATTTTCATTTCAAAGCCTTACCAATAAGCCAAACCACAGCTAAGGTTCCCAGGGTCCACAGCCTCAAGATAACCCTGGGAGGGCGCTGTCCACAGCATAGTACTATGACCTTGTCAAGGGATGGCACTGACCCCTAGGTTCAACTCGGGGAGAACTGTGATCTCCCTCAGAACACCCAGGATGGTGCTTGATTGCCACCTCATCTGTACCAAGATGTGTGTGAATCCCTCCTCTCCACGGTCCATAAAACTCCTTACCCGACGGATAGGCACTGGGGAATTAGAAGAGGGAAAAGTCTCAGCAGAGGGAAGCTACAGTGAGATGCCAGTCTGATAGGCCACATAGGGAGGGCACTGGAAGACAGCACCGGGGCAGGCCTATCAGCAGAGAGGCAAGACAGGATGGGTCTAGACATGTAAACGCAGAACTGTCCCCAGCCCATCCAAAGGGCCTGTGTACCAGCTTCTGAGTTCCTGAACAGGTGACAGGTAGCAGCTAAGGTGGTGATGACCCTTGTATTCAGGAAGGCTGTATATATTACAATAGTCTGCATAGGGTGCCAGTGCCCAGAGAGCTGTGCAACCAGTGTCTGCCAGGCTCTATATGGGCAAAGCACCATGATGTGGCACAGGCAAGGCTATTCTCAACTGGGGGCAAGAGGGAAGTCTATAGGAACCAACCCAGAGAATCCACAGGCGACCAAACAGGACCTTGATCCACACCAAAAAACAAAGTCTGAAGAGTTTATTCAGAAAAGGCCTCACTTGGCACCAGACTAAGAAAAGAGGCCCCTCCCCCCTCCCCGACCCTTAGGGTCTGTTCACAAACATGGGGCTCAGAGGGCAGTGGGGGAGGACACAGTGAGGTAAGGAGGGTTCTGAAGGCAGTGGCCTTCCCTGAGGGCAGGGCCTCAGTCCCTCTGGTGGACGTTTCAGGGGCCACCAGGGAGAGGCCAGCACTGTGGGGCACCGAGAAGAGCCAAGAGCAGGGCTCTGGAACTCACGAGAACCCCTGCAGTGGGCTAGTGGGACTGAGATGCACCTCTAAGGCTTCGGGGGCTCAGCAGAGGCCCCCACCCTTGCCAACTCCTCTGACTCATCCACTGAGATTTCTGTGGTGTCAGGGCCAGGGTCCTCCACCAGGCTCCCAGGATCCTCCACCAAATTCACAGAGGCACCTTGCTCTGGCCCCACCTGGCTTTCTGGGTCCTCTGGCCTGTTCCCATCCTTTTGGGCCTCAGGACACTCTGAAGGTGTAGGAGGCGGGGCATGGGCCTGCGTTTCAGTGTTATGGTTACTGGCAGCTCCATCACCCTCAGCCCCCTCCTCCACCTTCCTCCGTTTTCTTACCTCATCAGCCATCCTGGCCTCATGGGTAACAGAACAGGGATGTTCAGCCTCCCTTGGTTCCTGGCTGACAGGGCTGAGGGCACACCCCTCAAGGTTGAGGGCAATTTTCTCTACCTCAGAGACACCCTGGGGATCTGACTCCCCTGGGGTCTGCTCCTGCCTGTTCCCCTCCAACTTCCTCTTCTTGCTCTCTTTGGGGCTCAGTGACTCAGCCTCATCCCTCTTGTCCCCATCCAAGGTTCCCACATCCTGGGGTTTTGTGCTCAGCAGTGAGGGATCCTCAGTTCCAGTGTCCCCACTCAGGTCCCTTCCAGATCCATAGGTCCGACCCTGGGTGCCAGCCTCTTGGAAGGGGTTCCTGGAGCCCTCCTCCTTATCTGCCTGCCCTAGTACCATCAGTGGCTGGGGTGTAGCCTGGGGCCTGAATTTCCGAAGCTTGTCGCGGGGCCCCCAGACAAACTGGCAGCGAGGCTTGAAGTGCTCCCATGCAAAGTGCACGAGCTCCCGGCGCTGGTGCCGGCAGCGCACGGCAAAGAGGAAGTAGTCCAGGGCGCTCTGGCGCACGCTGGGCAATTTGTGCCGCACCAGTGTCTCCTCCAGGAAGAAGCGGACCAGCGGCGCCTGGTAGTGCTCTAAGCCCAGCTCACCCAGCGACTTGAGGATACGCGTGATACGCAGGTTGTTGTGGCTGTGACTGTGAAGGTAGGTGACAGGAGGTTGGATGGACCTGGCCCTGGGGATGCACATCTGGCCAAAGCATCCCCAGCTGGCTCCACCTCAAATTTCCAAGGTCTTCTCAGGTCCCCACCTGGGAAAATGGCCTGTGTACCCTGGACCTGTGGACAGGATCTGCAAGTCCTGGGAGATGCCCCAGTCCATGGACTCCTGTCTGGGAAACACTGCTGAAAGCTAGAAGGGCTGACATCTTGGCAGATCCAGGGTGACTGAGATGTCTATAGTCCTCCCTTGCCTCTGCTTCCTGGGTGGGTGGAGGGGATGAAAATTCCCCAGCCAATGGAACCTCACAACTCCTGCCACATGGCAGCACCTACACCCTGTGGCCTGTATAGGACTTCTCTGCTGGAAACCAGGCTCCAGATCCTAAAGGGGAGCATCAGGGATGGGAGGATGCCAGCAGGGCCCTGTCCTCACCTGTTCAGGTTGTGGAAGCGCTGCTGGAAGTTCTGTGCACGGCGGACAGCGCCTGTATCCCGGTCTTCGAGTTGGATTCCATAAAAGCCCAGCATGAGCTCATAGGCCCGGACAAGACGCTCTCTGACCTCCTTGGAGCTTTTAAATGCCTAGAAAACAATCCCCTGGGGGCTCAGGTGGCCCTCACTGATCACTGCTCCCAAGGAACACTGGGTGGGGCCATTGGATACCAGGTAGGCCAATGCCTTCCCTTAGGCCCTGACTCAGCCTCTGAGGATGAGATGACATCAACACATCTCCAGCTTTCTTCTCTGTGAGGCCTGGGAAAGCTGTCACCTCTATTAACCGGAATCCACTGCCACAGGGCATTCCTTGCTGTCCTTGTCCCTCTTCTCTCTTATCTCTACTACTCAGTCTCTAAGGGCTGGCCCCCTTTCTCTGATGTCCCCAACAGGTGGCATTACTCACATCAGGCAGACTTGTAGATGCCACAGGGGCACCATGGGGCTCTTTTGGCCCCACCTCTCTGCAGAGAGGGGTAGCTCTCCCAACGTGCCCAGTCTGGCCCAGGAAGGCAGCTTACCTCGACCTCTTTGAGTGTGAGGGGCTTGGCGTGCCAGTTGACTCCTGGTTCCCTCAGAGGAAACAGCCTGCAGAGACGGTGAGGTGGAGGCACGTGAGCGTCAGGCAGCAGCTCCCTTACTTCACTGCCTCCCTCTCACCCCGGAGGGACCGGCTGGCCTCTCTTACCCAAGGAACTAGGTAAGGATAGGCAGTCAGCCGACAGCAGGTAAGATGGCTGCTTGGAGCTTTGGCCTATGTGCTCAGTGGGCTGTGGTGTAAGTCTGTCTGTCAGTATGTCTGTCACCTTTGGGAGGCAGAGTTTTCTTTCCTATGCTTTCATATTTTGTTCTTTCTTGTCATTAATCCTGCAGAATTTCGGCCACAATGTACGCCATGCCAAGAGGACCCTGGGAGCAGCCCAGGGGGCCGTCCTCAAGTAAGGGGTGTCGTACTTGCCAGGAAATGGTATAGCTTCTGAAGTTGCTGTGTGACACCTCACTCAAGCCCTGCTAAAACCAAGTCAGAGGTAGTCCAGCTCCAGCCGCCCCCAAGACAGACAGGCCTGTCAATGGAGCTGCACACAACACCCCGCAGAGCCCAACGGGGACACTAACTAGAGGTAAGCAGCCAATGCCTGTCACGTACATAGAGGCTCGTGGAAAGAAAGGGGTGTGCTTCAAATACCTAACCATGACATAGCATGGCAGCCCCCACCTAGATGACCAGGCCCTCCCTTTCCCTAAGACCTGCCTGTTCAGTTCCACTCACCACTGGATGTAGGAGTGATTCTCTTCAAGGAGGTCGTAGTTGTCTTTCCAATTCTGAAGAATGTCCTCAATGAGAAAACCTGGAAATCCCATGGGGAAAAGTCAGCTACAGAGGCCTCCTTGACATAGCTCAGGGTGCAGAGCTCAGCCAGAATCTCTGCTTAGCCTCAATTTCTTTAGAGTTCTTAGGACTCAGAAGAGTTATCCATAGCTCATCAAATATAAAATGTACTAGTTTTAGGTAACTAGGCCTACTTTTCTATGTGAGGGGTACACTACTTCCTCTCTGGGTCAGCCAGGAAGCTCTGTACTCACAAGAAATCCCCATAGAAACCAAGCCTGGAACATGGTCCAGGGAAGGCGCCCTTGAAGGGCCAGACAGCAAATACCTTAGCTGTGCAGTTGCATGGCCTTTCCATGCAACAGCAGCAAAGTAACTGCATACACAGATGGCTGTGAGTGTGTGAGCGGGCACCAACAAAACTCTACACTGTTTAGTTTCAAATGTTTGTGTCACAGAACAGATATGGTGCCTCGGGCCTATAATTTCCGCACTTGGGAGGCTTAGACGGGAAGAGCTTGAGTTTGAGGCCAGCCTGGAATACACAGAAAGACCATTTTAAAACCCCAAAAGCTTCTCTCTGGCCCTTCAACCTCAGCTCCAATCCCCTTGGCAGCCTCAAGGGGGTAGTGCAGGGTCATTTGAAAGCCATAACTGGACTGAGGAGAACAGACAGCCTAGCAGAATGGACAACTGGCCAAGGGCAGTGGGGCTGAGTGGCAGGTACCGTTTGGCTGGAAGCAGATCTCATTTTTGTAGAAACTCAGGTTGGACATGTCGCCATTGCAGTCTTGATCTGCCAAATCCTGAAAAGGGCCAGAGAAAGGACGGCTGAGGACTCATGAGAAACAAGCTATCTTTGAGGGCCCTTCAGACTCACGCAGTCAGGGGTAGGGACAGCTGTTCAAGACCCCAAAGGTCAGTCTGAAATCCTCTCTGTGAACAAGGGTAGGTTTGGAGGACAGTACCACCTCCATCTCCCTACCAGCAGAGGCCATCGATGGTACTCTGTACCTCAAAAGTACTACAAAGGCTGTCAGTAACTCACGGGTAGAGGAGAGAGACTGAAGGTGATCCCATGTACCATCCAGGGAGCCCTGTGTGAAGTCCTGAGTCACATGTTCTGCCAGGAAGCTGGTCCCTCATTTTAAAGCTATGCTCTGAGGCTCAGGTAGGACAACATGCTCTATCACCCCATGACTAGGGGAAGGTCATGGATCTGAACCGACAATGAAGAACACACCCCAGAACCCAAAACTCGATTTTCAGGCAGGCCAGGGGATATGTTATTTGGGAAGAGGACTGTGTCTCAAGGTAGGGGCCATGTGTACCTACCGGGTAGTGGTGTCGGTACCTTCGCATGTCCTGCATAGCTCGCCAGTTTCGGTACCCTGTCATCCTAGACTGGAGAGAGAATAAAGGGAATAAGGTACCTGGAAAGTGCAGGCCAAAGGCAGCATGGCTTGGCCAGCCACCTCTGAGCTCTATGCAAGAGGAATGGGTATTTCTGTTTCTTCTGGTCTCCACACACCTTGTGTCAGGGGTTCTGAGAAGGCTCATCTAGACACTAGAGAAACACGTCTCCATGTGAACACAGACAGAGGGACTGGAGTAGCCTCAGCTACCAGTCCTGCCTATCTTAGTACTCCCTTTTTCTTTTTAGGGTGCTTTGGCCCAGCCTAGCCTGCATACTACCAAGGTGTATATGGC